TATTTATATGAAAATCTAGAAGGGTTTAAGGTGCCAGAAGCACATACTTTTAATTCTCACGAAGTATATTCAGTAAAACTATATAAATCTTTGTATGGATTGAAACAATCTGGTTGTATGTGGTTCAATTGTTTAAATACATTTTTGTTGAAAAAGGGCTATAAAATGATCCATTAAGCACATATGTATTCATAAAAAGATTCGGATTAGAATTTGTGATAATTGTTGTTTACGTAGATGATTTGAACATAATTGGAACTCATGGAGAATTGTAAAAGGCCACTTCTTGTTTGAAAGAAAATTTTGAAATGAAAGATCTCAGTAAAACGAAATTTTGTTTGGGTCTTCAAATTGAGCACACCAAAAATAGAGTTTTTGTACATCAATCCAGTTATCTATAAAAGGTTCTTAAAAGGTTTTATATGGATAACTCACATCCATTGAGTGACCCGATGGTGGTAAGGCACTTAGATGCCACAAAAGGACCAATTTTGGCCTTATGAAAAACTTCTTGGTCCCGAAGTACCATATCTTAGTGCTATTGGTACAATAATGTATCTTGCTAATAATACAAGACCTGATATATCTTTTTCCGTAAACTTATTAGCAAGATATAGTTTTTGCCCAACAAGAAGACACTGGAATGGAGTCAAATACATTCTTCGATATCTTCAAGGAATAATGGATATGGGCTTATACTATTCAAATTCATCAAATGCAGAGTTAATTTATTATACAGATACTGGATATTTATCTTATCCTTACAAAGCTCGATCCCAACCAGGTTATTTATTCACTTATGGAGGTACGCAAATTTCTTGACGTTCTATTAAACAAACTTTAGTTGTTGCTTCTTCTAAACATGTAGAGATTATAGCAATTTTTGAGGTAAGTCATGAATGTATTTGGTTAAGAAATTTAACTCATCACATTCGTGAGAATTGTGTTCTAACTTCTAACAGGGACGTTCCAACCATATTATATGAATATAATGCAGCTTGTATATTCTAATAGGGACGTTCCAACCATATTATATGAAGATAATGCAGCTTGTATAGCCCAATTCAAGGAAGGGTTTATCAAAGGAGACAGAACCAATCATATATCACCAAAGTTTTTTTTTTCACTCATGATCTTTAAAAGAGCATGGCATCAACATCCAGAAAAATTCAATCAAGTAATAACTTGGCCGATTTGTTCACTAAAACGCTTCCTACATCCAAATTTGAAAAGATGGTACGAAACATTGGCATGCGACGCTTTAAGGAAATCAAATGATGTGATGATCAGTGGGAGTTGGAAACATATTATACTCTTTTCCTTAGCTATGTTTTTTCCACTGGGTTTTCTTAGCAGGGTTTTTAACGAGGCAATTGTTCTCAATATTTATTATTAATCATGTACTCTTTTTCCTTAATAAAATGTATTTTCCCATAAGATTTTACTGATTAAGGGTTTAACGAGGCATGATACAATCGTCATTCAAGGGGGAGTGTTATGAATTATTATTTACTGAATGACTATTGGATTTCTCATATTCCCCCATCACACAATTTCCTCGTTAAAAACCTTGTTAAGAAAACTCAGTTGGAAAAACATAGCTACAGAAAAAAGTACAATATGTTTCCTGTAACACCTGGTTCCTGGTACACATTTAAAATATTAATTTATTCATTTTTATGTAGGAACTCGACGAGTTGAAGGCCCCAAACTCGTCGAGTAGGGATTGGATTTGGACGCGGGTTTTGTAGTTTACTCGACGAGTTGGAAGCCTCAACTCTACGAGTAGGGCTGCCAGAATGAAACCCTAATTTCGGGGTTTTGCACCCTATTTAAGCATCTTAATCCCTTTATGCCAGCCTCATTTACAGCCTCCAAGTCCCAAACCCTAGATCCAGAAACCCTAATGCAATTGTGAGCTTGTGAGCAATTTTTGAGTGAAGCTTTGTGTGTTTGAAGCTTGTGGAAGAAGAAGAAGCTAGAGGATTCAAGAGGAAGCTAGTAGATCCAGAGACTCCATTTCATTCTCATCATTTTCTGGTAAGCAAGTCTCAAACTTGCTTAGTAGCTTCTTAGAACTCTTTATTATCACTTTATTGGGTTTTTGGTCCAAGAAGCTTGATCTTTGGGATATGGACATCCCAAGTGAGTAAACCTTTAGATCTGGAATCATGGAGGGTTTTCATGGCATAAAGGTGCAAACTTTATGGCCATTAAAGCCCCATGCAAGCTATATGATGTCCTTTTGGCCTTTTAAGCTCCAAAAGGCCATGCATGGAGTGAAAGGAGGAAGCTTTACGTGTTCATATAGTGTTTAGGGTCTAGATCTTTGTTTGTATGCTTTAGTTTGGAGTATGAATGACTTGTGGACCAAGATCTAGGTCCTAAAGAGTTAGGGTTTTAGCTAGGTTCTTCAATTAAGGGTATTAACGGGTAAAGTTGGTAACTTTACCCTTAAAAGGACATTTTCAGTGTATAGGCAGAGTATATGGCTTAGATCTGATGAATTAGGGCTTAATCCATTAAGATGAAGCAACAGACTGAAGAACTCGGCGAGTCCAAAGAGGAACTCGACGAGTTGGGACGAAGTGTCCCGATTCTGTTAAAGGCAAAACTCGACGAGTTCAAGGATGACTCGACGAGTTGACTGGGGAACTCTCGTTTCAGTAGATAGGAGGAACTCGACCAGTTGTTAAAGAACTCGACGAGTTGGAGCGCGATTGCAGGGTTTATGATTCATGGAACTCGACGAGTTGATGGACCAACTCAACGAGTTGAGTCAACTCAGGATGTTGACTTTGACTTTGACCAAGGTTGACACATGAAGGGGTTTTGAGTATGGAATGTTATCTAAGAGGTTGTTATGTATAGGGTGTGAGTAGAGCCGATTGCAGAGCAGCGACTTTCAGCTATTCACGACATTGAGGTGAGTTTCCTTCAGTAGGAACGGGTCTAAGGCACCAAGGCCGGCCCGTATATGTGATCTGATTAGTAGCTGAGTGTGGGCGGGGCCCGTATCTCATAGATAGCTGATATGGTACAGATTTATATGCTTAGTTATACTTGTTGTCTGTGTGATACCTGTATGTATTTTCATGACTAGCTGAGTGTGGGCGGGGCCCGTATCTCATAGTAGCTGAGTGTGGGCGGGGCCCGTATTTCATAGTAGCTGAGTGTGGGCGGGGCCCGTATCTCATAGTAGCTGAGTGTGGGCGGGGCCCGTATCTCATAGTAGCTGAGTGTGGGCGAGGCTCGTATCTCATTGAGTGTGGGTGGGGCCCGTATCTCCTAGTTGCATGTTATGTGTATGGTATGTGGTAGTTTGGGGAGACTCACTAAGCTTCGTGCTTACAGTTTTCAGTTTTGGTTTCAGGTACTTCCTGTAGCAATGGAAAGAGCTCGGGATGATTGCAGTGCACACACCATTTGTTTAGCCTGGGATGTATTATGATATACTTTGACAGATGTTATGATATTTTGAGATGCACGACTTATGGTTTTTATATAATGTTTGGATGACTATGGTTTCTTAATGATTTAAAATGAAATTTTTGGTCATGATTTTTGGGATGTTACATTTCCAATATCTATTATTAATCATGTACTCTTCTTCCTTAATAAATGATTTTTTCCATGAGGTTTTACATATTAAGGTTTTAACGAAGCATGATACAATATTAGTTTGTGAATGACCATTAGATTTCCTATTAGGTTTTACATATAGGTTATTTTGTGTATGTTGTAAAATAGATTGCATATCAATAATGGTCAATGTTACTATCTTTTTGAAGTTATTGACGATATCTTATAAATGATACAATGTGATAAAATAATATGCATGTATTTCTATTTTTCATATAACCATACAACTATCATTTTTATTCTACAATATACTTAATTATACAAATTTAATTATACAAAGGTTTAATAAAACATTTATTTAAAAAAAGATTTAATTTTTCTTGTTAAAAAATTCAATGACTATTGATTTTTTATATATTGAACACCGATAACAACAACAACACATTATTATAACTATTAGGGGTGGAATTGGTACGGTACCAATTCATTTTTCTCTAAACCATGTACAATACCAATTATAATTGGTATCAAAAAATTGCTACCGGTATGTTTGGTACCAATATATTTGACTACCGACAAGTTTGGTTGATACAAATTGGTAATGATATATATCAATTTCTTTTAATTTTCTATTGTAAGATTTAAAAATAAGCAAATACATCGGGTAATTTTGATGTGTAGTATAGAAATTAGTTACGTTGTTCTTTTAGTTTATAAAAAAATTCTATTGATATAACGTTAAAGTGACAATTTAATTTTGTGTTTTAACGTTGTAATAACTATTAACTAATGCGACAAAATGACTTATATAATGTTCTTAAAACTGTAAACACTACACACAACTAACAATTGAATATAAGATTTCGTTCATATATATTATATATATATATATATATATATATATATATATATATATCTATATATATATATATATAATAATAAATGAATTGGTTGGTACGGTATTATCATGGTATTCATACTTTTGTGTCATTACCGTATCAATATTGCTCAATTGGTACGGTACTACCAACCAAACATGTTGGTTATCAAATATATTGACTACCAACTTTAATGGTTTGGCCGGTAACATGTTGGTTGATTTTTCATTGCACAATTTTGCCGACCCCTAATAACTATGTTCAATTTTTTGAATAACAACAAGATATCTAACTCTTTCGTTAATTTTTCACTTTATATTCAATTCTTTCGTTAAACTATCCACTATATATATAAAATATATAAAGGCTTTTATATTTTGTTTGTTTCTCATGAAGTGGCCACTTCGGAGCCATACATCAAATCACACAACTCAAACCTAAGATAGCAAATGCATGTTGGTCTGTAACAACAACTACCGGTTTCAATAGCTATATAGGGAAACAACACGAACACCAATTTAATTTAATGCACTTTCGAATCTTCCAACTACATTCCCTCTGGTTCGTAGCCGTTGAGAGTTAATTCCCTCCCAACTTCAATTCGATCGGCCATTAAATACACACACCCACCCCTTAATTCTCTCCATACTCCATCCATACTCGAACATCTTACGTACATGTCCATTTGCAGATCATGGCACCCACCGGAGAACAACACCTTCTGTCCACAGAAATCGTCAACCGGGGAATTGAATCGTCCGGCCCCGATGCTGGTTCCATGTCTTTCTCTGTCAGGGTTCGCCGTCGGCTACCGGACTTTCTCCACTCTGTGAAGCTCAAGTACGTGAAGCTTGGCTACCATTACCTAATCAACCACGGGATTTACTTGGCCACTGTGCCGGTGCTGGCCCTGGTGTTTGGTGCGGAGGTCGGTCGCTTCATCAGGGAAGAGCTGTGGCGGAAGCTATGGGACACTACCGCCGGCTACGATCTTGTTTCTCTACTTCTTTTTGTTGCTGTCTTTACCTTCACCCTAAGTTTTTATTTCTTGTTCAGCCCTCGATCCATCTATCTAGTAGATTTTGCATGCTTTAAACCCGATGATGATCTCAAGGTTGGTAAACCTGTTTTATATTAATCTTCTTTTCTTGTAATGATCTGAACAAAATAGATCAACTAAGAATTGTGATATATCGATTCTCTTGAACTTCAGGTGACGAAGGAGGAATTTATCGAATTAGCAAGAAAGTCGGGAAAATTTGATGAAGAGAGCCTCGAATTTCAGAAGAAGATACTTGATTCTTCAGGGATCGGAGATGAAACGTACGTCCCAAAGGCAATAAGCTCGCCGGAAAAGATCTCCACCATGAAAGATGGAAGAGCAGAGGCGTCCCTGGTGATATTTGGAGCTCTAGACGAACTTTTTGAGAAAACCGGGATCCAACCAAAGGACGTCGGAGTACTTGTTGTAAACTGCAGCATTTTCAACCCAACGCCGTCTCTGTCGGCGATGATTATCAACCATTACAAGATGAGGGGAAACACTTTGAGTTTCAACTTGGGTGGCATGGGTTGCAGCGCCGGGATTATTGCGATGGATTTGGCAACTGACATGCTTCAGGCGAACACGAACAACGTTGCGGTGGTGGTGAGCACGGAGATAGTATCGTATAACTGGTACCCAGGTCGTGATCGGTCTATGCTCATCCCTAACTGCTTCTTCAGAATGGGTTGCTCCGCCCTGATGCTCTCCAATCGCCGTGGTGACTACCGCCGAGCCAAGTACAGGCTTGAACACATCGTTCGAACGCATAAAGGTGGTAATGATTCAAGCTTCGGGAGCGTGTATCAAGAAGAAGACGAACAACGATTCAAAGGGTTGAAAATCAGCAAAGATATCGTCGAGATAGGCGGCGACGCCATTAAAACCAACATCACCACCTTAGGTCCATTAGTCCTACCAGTCTCCGAGCAACTCCTCTTCTTTTCCACACTCATCAAGAGGTACCTTTCCGGCACCACCAAAGACAAAGACGGCGTCACCACCCCGAGTAACTCTTCTCAGCTATTTCCACCGCCTTCCTCCTCCTCCTCCGCCACCACCACCAAGCCATACATTCCCGACTACAAGCTAGCATTCGAGCACTTCTGCATCCACGTCACCAGCAAGACGGTGTTGAATGAGCTGCAACGCAACCTGGGGCTGAGCGACACCAACATGGAGCCATCTCGAGCCACTCTCCACCGGTTCGGGAACACCTCCTCCAGTAGCATCTGGTATGAGTTGGCGTATCTGGAGGCGAAGGGAAGAGTGAAACGGGGCGACCGGGTCTGGCAACTGGCATTCGGGTCGGGTTTCAAGTGCAACAGTGCTGTTTGGAAATCGGTCCGTGACATGGAAAAGCCGTCTGCCAACAACCCTTGGCTTGATTGCATTGACAGGTATCCTGGGGAGGTTCTTTCTCAGTCTAACCAAGTTCACCCTCTCAACTTTAGTTGAATTACACTTGGGTACCTTATAAATGTAAGAGGTTTAAACTCTTTGCAAAAGAAAAGGAAAATAATAAGAGATTATAGTGAGCAATATGTTAGGTTGGTCATAGTATTGTTGTGTTTTGTTTCATTTGATTGTTGATCACTTATCATGCCTTCCGTTATATCATATCACAAAGAAAGTATTATGTGTATTTGAACTTTGAAGACAGGAAATATATATATGTTGTAGTTACGAAAAGGTATCGAGAAAAATAGAATAAGATAATATTATCTTACTGTAATCTTATTGTATTTTTTCTACTTAACAGATGATTTTGTTTTAATGTAATCGACTGCAATCTCTTTTTTAAGGCATATGATATTATGTTTTTTTAACGACAAACTAATATACTCCTAAATATCATAAATTATTACATATATCTCCAACGATACTTGAATCAATGACCTCTAAATTGAGAGAGTCGATCTTTACCGCTAGGTCAAAGGGCATTTGGTGACATATGATATTCTATTATTGTATTCTTTCTGTTTGATGGAGGGTGTTATCTTGCTGTAATCTTATATTCTCTATGTTTGACTAAAGATATCATATGTCTGGATAAAATTGGGTTTTTTTTTTTTTTTTGTCATTTGACATGAAAATACAATAACATAACAGTCATTTTATCACACAAAAAGAATAAGTGAGATTATAATACAATAAAATTATGTCTTTTTTGTTCAAAGAAAATGTCACTGGCATTATCGTTAATGAACCTAAAGTGTATCGTCTTTTTTTTTTGTTCAAAAAAATGTAATGTATCGACTTTTCTAATGATTACCGGTTGAAAACTAAGATTACCGACTAAAATCCCACATATGTATATGTTGCCAATTTCTTAACATTTTCTATAAACAATTACCTGTTTTTTTTTTTCTAGCTTAAAAATAATAATAATAATAAAACCATGACTTTATCGTTAATAAGCCTAGAATTTAAGGACTTTGATGAAGATTTCTCACATATATATTATACATAATACATCTATGTTCAATAGCAACTTTAGTACATAGAAAAAAAAATTACATCTTATCTGAAGTCTAACACACTTGTGTTCGAAGACACAAAGATTCGAATCTAGAAAGACCAAAAATGTTCATACCACAGACATACACACAAAAAATAAAATCAGAAACATCCAATAAGTAATAGCCATATGATATTAGATTGATTAACCAAAAAACAATCAAATCTCTTTTCAGGCTAACCACTCCCCATCCATCCCTTCAATTTCACCTATGTCCATGCTGCATTTTCATAAATGTCACTCACATATTAGCTAATCAAAAACAACTTAACAATCCATAAACAAGATTATGTAAATCCATTTTTTTAACTTATTTTAATTGTATGCTTATATAGTATATATATACACACTCTTTTAACCAACAATTTACAGGCCAAACTGTAGGACCTGTCACAGAATCTGAAAATGAGACAAACACAATTAAAAAAACAGGGTGGTGAGTGGGGACCTGTTTGGTCTCATTGCAATTATGGCTACTCTTTTTTCCAAAACAGTAAAAAAAAAAAGCATCTTTATTAGGAAGTAAAGGGTTAAATGCAAGAAATAACAAGAAACTTCCATTGATTTGTTTATTACAGCATCCATTCTCATTTTTCCTTATTTTGAAAAATCTACCCAATGTCATCAGAAAATACATAGAAAATTTTCACAGTTTCACTGCTATCAATGGGTAGATTTTTCAAAGTTACAAGAAAAAAATATTGGAAGTATAATGCCTTATTATAGCATCTTTCTTTCATTTCTCCTTATTACAACATTGTAGTTTGAAAAACCTACCAATGTCATCTATACTTGGGTAGTTTTTATAAAGTATAATGTCCTTATAAGAAAAAAAAATCAATAATTGAATATGAATCAAGAATGAGAATCTGACCAAGGCAAAGCAGGATCTGGAGAGTATTGATCAGAAAATTGGTGATCATAAAATTGTTGCAAACAGGAGCTCTCATTTGCATTAATCAACCATGGTGGGAATTCCATGACTTGGTCAAAAGGATGATACTCATCATCATTATCATCATCACCATCATCATCATAAGCTGGGCTCCTGTTCACCAAGACTCCACCACAAGAGCTAACCGCCGCCACTTCCTTGGCGGCAGTTGAGGAGGTGGACGGAGAGGAGGAAGCAGATGATGAAGAGTAAACCGCCATTGGTGTCTTCAAGTTACTAAAATCTTGAAAATTGAGATTCAATCCCAAGGTTTGTGTAGGGAGTACAAAATTTAGGTTTTCTTGATGCAGTGGTGGAGGAATTGGTGGAGGAAAAGGTAAGCCTGAATAAGACCATAAATAACTGTTGGCGGCAGTGGTGGTGGCCGGAAACAACCTAGAATTTGATTCAGGTGGTGGGTGTTGTTGAAGGACATAATTACCCTCTTGTTGCTTCATAGAAGCTCTATGGAACTTAAGAGCAGTAGCAATCTCTCTTCTAGCTTCAGCCATATTCAAAAGCCTATCTTTATAGGGTTTGTTGGTTTGAAGCCTCCTCCTAACTTGTTTCTTGGATTGTTGAGTATTATTATCAACTTTTTCTATTTCCATTGATACCCCTCAATTCTGCAAACACTCTTTTCTTCAAATGTTATGGTTTTCTTTTCTGATACCAAAACACAGGTTTTCTTGGATATAAATACCTGGCCTTCAATCTAGTTTTTTTATTATATCTCTCTATAATATTTTTTAAATAGTTATGGATTTTTGTTGCCCCTTCTAGGTTGTTTCCTTTCCAATTGTATTTACAACTACTGACACAATCTTTTTCTTGTGCCACCATTATTGGAATCATGATCCAAAAATGGTATGTCATATAACCACTATATTTATCCTATTCCACTTGATATATATATATATATATATATATATATATATATATATATATATATATATAAACACTACCCCTCATCATTCATCAACTTTTTTAAAATCCTATCCCTTAGGATACTCATGCCAGAAATTGCATAAACAATATAAAAAAATAAAAGGCATCAGCAAACACAATTATTTAATCGTACATTCGAAGGGAATTCTACAAAAAAATGTAGAAGCAAATAAGCTAAAAGATGAAATAAAAGCATATTCTAAAGAAGAATCGTTCACATTCATATTTTTCATGATATTAGAAGATGTGATAATATGATATGCATTCGTTTAGGTGAATCTAGGCCAAATAATACTACTTTGGGTGACAGGGCATTTTGGTCATTAAGTTGTTTGAAAGGGTAATAATAATATTTCTTTGTCTGCAAGCTTGTGTAATGGGACCAACCTCAAAAACATTCAGAAGTAGGCAATGGGAATTGATGGGAGAATTTCGTTTCTTGTTGTAAGGTAAGCTTCTTTCTGTATGTGTATGTATTGTATGCATGTGCATGTGCATGTGCATGTGCATGCATACTATATATATATATATATATATATATATATATATATATATATATATATATATATATATCTATATATATATATATATATGCATAAAAATAGGAAATGGATAAAATCAATTATTGAAAATTGACCAATAACATTAATGTGTAGTGCAAAAACAGAGCACCTGGACCTTTTTCTGAGGAAAGATAACACCACTAGCCTGATAGAATCAGAATTTCACCATACTATTTTACTCATTTTCTTCAGGTTTACTATTCATTGATGTTATTTCTCACAATAATTGTTCAAAAACTGTTAAATCTGAGTATGGAAGATGCATGGCTTCCAATAACTTTAGCAGTCTTCTGTCTGTTAACAATGGTAAAAACAGCCATCATATTTTACTGAGTTTTCACATCAAAAGTTATGATGAACCATATAATCAAACTGTAGCATAGATTGTTGATTAAGGTTTAAGAGTTGAGACCAACATACACGATATAATTTTGGTTTATATTTTGAAGATCAACAAAATGATTTTCTTGATGTGCTTTAATTATAGTAGAATTAACGTATTAGATTCATTGAAATTTAAAATCATAAACATAAACAGTTGGTATGCACTGAAATGGAGGCTGCAATCATATGATACATACACATTTAAAATTTATTTTAAAAAAAAATGAGGAATCTAAGAGGCATGGGACTATATTCCAAATGAAACACATATTTTTTTGTACTAGAATGAATTATTTTCTAGAATGGCAGCTGAATATAATCAGAATCTAAAATGATTCAAACAATACAACATATAACTCATCATAATCAATAATAAAACAGATTCTGAGAGAGAGAGAGAGAGAGAGAGAGAGAGAGAGAGAGAGAGAGAGAGAGAGAGAGAGAGAGGCCTGCTAACTGCTAAGGAGTCCACTGATTGTTTAGATAAGCATCAAATTGGACAAGGCATTGGCTACTTTCTGATAGAGAAAACCCAATTCCACCAATCAGAAATTCCCATGATGTTTCTCTTAAAGAAAGAAGGGTGGCTTCCAAAATTTCTCTCTCCCCTCATCTCTTAGATTCCATTCACACAGAGTAAAAAAAAAAAAAACTGAAGATCCAAAGTTGAAATTTATGAGTCACACCAACTCAAGTTGCAAAAAAACCCAGTGGGGAAGTGAAGGAGTGTCGATTCGCCCATTGGATTTGGATTGCTCATCTGATCAGAACAGCTGCCCTTCCTTCCTTTCTCTCTCTTACTTTTATTTCCCCTCTGCCTCAGGTTTTCTGCTTGGCAGGATTAAATGGGTTCATATCTTAAACTTAAAATAATAACAAAATATATATAAACACTGTTTCTTCATGTTATCAAATTAAGGGTGTAGTTGGGATTATTTTTAAACTTAAAAATCTTTTTTATAAAAATGATTTTTTGTAAAAGAATTTTTTTTAAAAAAAAAAGTTTTTAAATTGTGTTTGGTTTGGTTTTAAGTGAAAAAAAACAAAAAGAAATAAAAACATAGGAATTTCTGTCTTTTGTCCAACCAATTTTTCCTTGTTAAAAATTGATTTGAAAAGAACTCTTCAATTTACCAAACAATTTTTGGTAATTTTTAACTTTTTGAAAAAATTAATTAAAAAGAAATCCCAAACACCATCAATTTAACTTTATGAAAGAACTAGAATTGAAACAACATTTATGAAGCGATTTAACCTTAAGGGATATATACACTAAAGTCTCAATATTTTCATCAATTTGACAAAAAAGTCCTAAACTTTATTTTTTTGACAGTAAAGTCCAAATTACCGGCAGTTTTTGACACTTTTACCATTTTTATCCGGTTAACCGGTAATTAGAACTTTTTTGTCAAAAAATATAAAGTTTAGGACTTTCTTGTCAAATCGTCAATTAGGACTTTACTGTAAAAAAAATAAAGTTTAGGACTTTCTTGTCAAATCATTGAAAATATTGGGACTTTAGTGTATATATCCCTTTTTTTTGTTAGAAATTTAATGGTATGATACTCTTTAAGCTTAAGAGTTGTTGAAACCTTCTCTAGTGAGCTAGATCCTATTGAAATCCTTAACGTTTGCTTCTTGTTAAATCGTTTTTTTAATCTCAACAAACTGACATTGAAAAAAATGGAAATAATCAAGAAAAAAAGAAAGAATCAAGGTTGTGTTGGTTTTTTGCAGTCCTAAAAATGGAGAAATAAGAAACCGAAAAAAACGAAATTGCCCTTCTTTCCCTTCTCCACATTCACACCATTTTGACTAGGCATGTGTTGTTTGTGTTTGTATAATTTGTCCCCACTTTTTAGTTCAAGATTTGGCGGCGAAGCAAAGAAGAAAGTTTTAAAAGTCTTTTCACCCTTTCAAGAGTAAAGATGATGATGGTAAGAAAAACAATGGTGCTGCAAAAAAAAGTCACAACTAAAAGTTCTTGGGTTAAGAAATACACTAAAGTCCCAATATTTTCAATGATTTGACAAGAAAGTCCTAAACTTTATTTTTTTGACAGTAAAGTCCTAATTGACGATTTGACAAGAAAGTCATAAACTTTATTTTTTTGACAAAAAAGTCCTAATTACCGGTTAACCGGAAAAAAGGGTAAAAGTGTCAAACACTGCCGGTAATTTGGACTTTACTGTCAAAAAAATAAAGTTTAGGACTTTCTTGTCAAATCGATGAAAATATTGAGACTTTAGTGTATATATCCCTAACTTTAAATTTGAAAACTAAGTAAACTAATCTAATTTATTATTAATAATTAACTTTTATAAAATTGTAAAAAAATAATCGGAATAGGACATTCTCGAGAAACAATATTCATTAAGGAGTATTCGATGGTAGGTATAATTTAAAATCCAGAATCTAACATCGTACATTATGGACTGACATATTCAATTTAGGAGTACGGTAGTCAAAACCGCACATATAGAACTGACATTCTGGATACGATCTTCGTATTCCGGACATTCCGGATTACGTTCCGGACTGATAGTACTTTTCAGAATCGCTTTTAATGGGTAATGTAGACTTATTTTGTGACAACCCGAAAAATTTTTGTTTTAAAAGCTCAGTCAGTCAACTCAACTGAGTGTCAGACTCATTGGTAATGAGTTCTAGCCTGGTTAAAGGTCATTCTAAGGAGTTTTAAGCCTAATACACTTAAGGAATGAGTGTTAGGAAGTACCTACTAGAACCACAGTATAGCATGCAAGCCTTAAACTCCATCAAGAGGAGTTTACGGCCAAGTTACCAAGAGTTTACGGCCGTAAACTCAAGGGGGTCATAAACTCACCTCTACATATATAAAACTTGGCCATTTTTCTCATTCTTTCTTTCCCTGGCCGATTTTCTTCAAATCCTCTCAAGTACCATCCAACTTTTCATCCAAGATCTTCATATATGTAAGTATTCTATCCTTGATTAGTTGATACATCTCTTAAACTAGCTTCATCCATTGATTTCATCCATAGGAATCATCTTTTCTTAGATCTTCAAGAAACACCAAGAACACACACTAGTGTTCTTGGCCAAAATCAACCATTTCAAGCCTCTATATCGTAAGTACTCTTCCCTACACTTGATATCTAGTTAGGACTCATGCTTAGAGCCTTGAAAACATCAAAAACACAAGACCAAAATGAGTTTACGGCCAAGCCATCTCCCATGGCCGTAAACCCCTTTAAGGGTGCCATTTTGGCCATAAACCCTCCTAGATGCAGAGCTTGTGACCTAGAACCCTTCATTGATGAGAATAGGACCTTAAACTACTCTCAAATGCATAATGACCATGAGTTTACGGCTGTAAACTCCTTTGGGCCGTAAACTCATCAAAAGCCTCCATTGAGTTGGTCTTTCTCATCCTTGTGTAGGGCAAAAGTCCCTCAAGCTTCCCTAGCCTTCAAACAAACACTTATGCATGTTTGACCATGAGTTTACGGCCGTAAACTCCCTTTGGCCGTAAACCCATGGTAGTAAACTCATGGTAGTACCATTCCACTCTCCTTTGATGAATCACATGTGATTCCAACACTTGGTTAAAGTGTTCCTAGTCCCGGAAGGTGTTTCCTTTCATATAGTTGCTTATAAACACTATATTCATGCCAACATATGTCATTTAGGACTTATTGTGTCTCGGGACTTCATTCGTGGAACTTCTCATCCTTACACGCATATTCGTTGAATCACCCACATCAGGTGAGTTCATACCCCGAAATGAATCTTTTAACTGTTTTAAATGCTTTTAAGGGGGGGGGGGGGGAATACAAGTTGAACACAATGATAATTCTGTAATTGTTTGTTATAAACATCTTTCAAAATGTTGCTTATGTCTTTTATAAGTAATCAAAACATTGCAAAAAGACTTTTAAAGTTATGTTACTTTATAGTTAATCAAACTCCGTTTTTAAAGTACAAGCATAACTTAGTAGTAAAATGAGTCTTTTCAACAGCAGTTCA